ACACTTTAAAGGAGGGGTTTGGGATATTGGCTGTTTGGAGTGACAGCTAAACTGTCGGTGGGGAACGACCGACGTGTTAAAAAGCAGACGAAGCTTTTAAAGTTATATTTTATCACTCAGTGAACTGTCATGATGAGATACTAAAGTTATACTTAACATGCAATTTTTTTATAAGATATTGATCACCAGGAATACTGTGCCGCAGCTGTGACACAGTATTGCTGGTGCCGCAGCTGAGGTCTGTCCTATACAGCAACTCCGCTGCCAGAACTCCCTGCTACCGTGTACTTGTGGAGACCTGTGTATCTCAGACGACGCTGGAGTCCCACTCACTACCCTTGATCATCTATGCTTACTTGGTTCATTATTGCCAAAGGTCGAAGTGATTTGGTATCTGAAACTGCTAACCGTGACTTGTTTCCTTGAACAGTGAACAAGTGAACAAGTTGGGTTGTAAGACAGTACACATTTGATTGTTACTGTGAAGGAACGTCAACATACATTGCTCTCAGGATGAATCTCGCATTGCTGTGGTGGTTCACAGGGATGATCCAGCACGTTCTTGGGCAGAACCTTCAGTTATGGCGTAGCGTCACCGTCGAGGACTCGTGGTTCACCTCGGTCCAGCAGACTAACTTAACTCTAAATCCGATTAACTGTGCCATGATTTGCACGCCCTTGGCGTGGTGCCTGGCTTGGTGCCATGACGGAGTCCTGGGGTGCCAGCTCACTAACCTCGTCGTCTCAGGTTCCTACCAGACAACTAGCAACACCAACATCCGTGCCTGCTACACGAGGCGCTCCCTCCTCCCGGAGTACGCCTTTCGTGCAAACGTCATGTCCTCGCCAACATATTATGTCGGAATTAGAGGCACCAACTTTCTTATTAACGGCGTCTACAACTGGAATATAAATAACTGCTGTGTCGTAACAGCGATGAACAATCCCTGGTACCTGTTTGATTTGAATCGTACTGTGAGCATCACAAAAGTCGTCGCGATCGCCCAACCCAGTTCCAATGTAGTATATTTCTTCCGCAACTTCGAAGTGAGGGTCGGAACCACTCTACAGAGTGGAAACTTCACCTCCTACAGCCTCCTGGGGTGATTAACAAGAAGTAGCCAGTGATCATCAACCCAAGAGTACCATGTCCTCTCCTCAACCATCGTCGCCATACGATCCAATCCAAATGATTGCACTAACATAATTGTGCCAAATCCTCACTTGAGACAAAATTTTATTAGGGCCGCGTCCCTGACTACTTGAAGACATACACACAATTTTATTTACCCCAACTACTTTTATTCGTTAAATTTACCACTTCATCTAAGTGTTTCATGACTGCAACCCGCTATGTGACACATTTTTGGCCATATGTGGATATCCTGCATGATACGTCGCATACCGCACATGTTGTACCATCTAATGTACAAGTTCCAAATAGATATTCGTGAGATGGAAAATTGAACTTGTTTCAGTGTGTCGGAATTTTAATCCTGACTGTGACTTAAGGAAGACTGTATATTGATCCAGTCAACTGACTGAACAAAACCCTGACTGTGACATATGGAAGATTGCAAATTGATCCAGTCAACTGACTGAACAAAACCCTGACTGTGACTTAAGGAAGACTGCATATTGATCCAGTCAACTGACTGAACAAAACCCTGACTGTGACTTAAGGAAGACTGCATATTGATCCAGTCAACTGACTGAACAAAACCCTGACTGTGACATAAAAACAGTCTTAAAAAATTATGCATTATACACTGTAACATAATTATTTGTTCGTCAAAGTTAATGTGAAAAAAAAAGTTATGTTACTTTATTTGTACTTAAAGAATTGGGAGATATTTTATACAACGAAGTCTGTATGTATTATAATTCCTTGGACATATTTTTTTATTTGTATAAAAAACTCTAAAACTGTATTTGCAAGATATTATCTCAAGTTTTGTGTCATTGTTTATCATATTCAGTTAACGTTACATCTTTCTCATTGACCAAATATGTTATTTTATATTTACGTATTAAAATTATCCTTATACAACATGTATGTCACTTAATATATGTCTACCGAGGAGTATGTGGCTCTCAGCGTACATACACTGACAGCCATACACACTGACAGTCAGTTTAAATCCTATTTGAGGGATTAATGCGTTTTTAACTGTACATGAACGGATTACAACGCAGCTTGACCCTCGTGTAGTCGCTAGGCTTTAAACCCCTTTAACCATATCTAGTAATTACTTTTTTCCATAGCTGCAGAACCCCTTTATATTCTTGTAAAGCAACTTTATACTTCACTGCACTAAACACGATGATGTTACTTCTGTTATATTGTTGAGTCCTGTTATGGATGAACACGACGTATTCTACACCTGTGTGACGTTAGACAGCAATCTGAGCTGTTTTGTGTCGTAACGCACAGTAAGACTGCCTAATAAGCTTTCTTTCGAAAAGCTTTTGCTTTTTCTGTCCAGATTATAGCTTTCATATAGATATTCATGGTTGTAGTGTGTTTGTGTATTTGTCCGGGAGTTGAGCGTCACTATAGAACTGCTCGCCGCCAGGACTACTGATCACTGATTGCTAAATGATGCTCTTGTTGCCTGTAGCACTTGCTGCCTTAGCATTCCTTGCTGCCTGTAGCATCTTGCCTGCCCTGTAGCACCTCTAGCAGTTGGCTGAGCACTTTGCTGCCTGTAGCACTTCTGCCGAGCACTTGCTGCCTTCACTCTGTACCTTGCTACCTGTAGCACCTTGAAACTCAGATCAACCTGTAGGCAGCTTGACCTGTAGCACTTGCTGCCTGTAGCACTTGCTGCCTGTAGCACTTGCTGCCTGTAGCACTTGCTGCCTGTAGCACTTGCTGCCTGTAGCACTTGCTGCCTGTAGCACTTGCTGCCTGTAGCACTTGCTGCCTGTAGCACTTGCTGCCTGTAGCACTTGCTGCCTGTAGCACTTGCTGCCTGTAGCACTTGCTGCCTGTAGCACTTGCTGCCTGTAGCACTTAATGTTTGATTCCAACATCTATTATACATTTTAACTCGGACATTCTTGCAATGTAAACTTTGAAGGAGAATATTTATATATTCCCCTCATTAAGCAATGTGTTATTAACCTTCTGTCTGATAAACTTAATTATGAAACATAGTATATAAAAAGATCGAATAGATGCAAGAAATGGGATAAAAAGAATTAATAATAATGATAAATAAGGATAATAATGAATAAAAACTCTATCCATTCCCAGAAGTGAATTTTGAGTCAAGATTATTTTTTTTTATAATTACTTAAAGATTTTTAAGAGGATGAAATTGGGAATATGACGAGATTCCAGAGCTCGTGACTTGGAGAAGGTCGATAGATGGAGTCCAAAAGGCAACTTGGAGTGCATGTTTGACTGTTACAGTCCACTTGTGCTCTCTATCCCACTTGTACTCTCTATCCCACTTGTGCTCTCTATCCCACTTGTGCTCTCTATCCCACTTGTGCTCTCTATCCCACTTGTACTCTCTATCTCACTTGTGCTCTCTATCCCACTTGTGCTCTCTATCCCACTTGTGCTCTCTACCCCACTTGTGCTCTCTATCCCACTTGTGTTCTTTATCCCACTTGTGCTCTCTATCCCACTTGTGCTCTCTATCCCACTTGTACTCTCTATCCCACTTGTATTCTCTATTTCACTTGTGCTCTCTATCCCACTTGTACTCTCTATCCCACTTGTGCTCTCTATCCCCCTTGTGCTCTCTATCCCACTTGTACTCTCTATTCCACTTGTGCTCTCTACCACGAATTGCAGTAGGCACTGTAAAATATGGGAGAGGCTCGTACACAACAGACTGTGTCTTGCTGTGGAAAAGACAGGACCAACCTGATTAATGTAGTCCCTCGTTCCATCTCTCGTGGGTATTCAGTCACCTTGTGGGAAATGAAGACAGGTCAGAAGAGCATGGTACAACCTTTGGAAAGTAAGACAGACTTAGTATCCTTGCTGAAACCTAACCTAGGAGCGAGGTCATAGAACCTGAACCTCAGGAAGGGAGAAAAGAGAACCTCCAGTAAACACAACCTGAACTAGGAGCGAGGTCATAGAACCTGAACCTCAGGAAGGGAGAAAAGAGAACCTCCAGTAAACACAACCTGAACTAGGAGCGAGGTCATAGAATCTGAACCTCGGGAGGTAAAGACACCAGCATACCATAAAGCGACAATGTCCTTTTGGGAAAAAGTAAGACATTAACAGCATACTTGCTTTGGAAAAGTCTGGATTTGGGGGAAGAGGTGACATTGCGCTAAGGTATGCAGTACCAAGAAGTTGATAAATATAATAATAATAATAATAATAATAATAATAATAATAATAATATAATAATAATAATAATAATAATAATAATAATAATAATATATTATATTATTATTATTATTATTATTATTATTATTATTATTATTATTATTATTATTATTATTATTATTATTATTATTATTATTATTATTATTATTATTATATATTTTTAACACATCGGCCGTTTCCCACCGAGGCAGGGTGACCCAAAAAGAAAACCCCAACTTTCATCATCATTCAACACTTTCACCATCACTCATACATAATCACTATCTATGCAGAGGCGCTCAGATACGACAGCTTAGATATCCCTCCAAAGTGCCACTATCCCAAATCCCTCCTTTAATAATAATATTTTTATTAATATTATTATTTATAGTTCTTGATAAACATTCCCAAGTGGGGAAGAGCAGCCTCTCATAGCACTGCTACAGACACCCAAGCACCACTGGCTTCACCACTACAATCACTACCACCTACACTACTACTACTACTACTACTACTACTACTCCCTATACGACCTGGGTGCGGGTTCGTGGTGGCTAGGAGGATGTGTGGGTAATGGTGGGAGAGGATGGGAAGGGGAGGAAGGAGAGAGATGAACCCCCAGCATCCCTGGGCCGTCAGTCTGGTCTTAGCGACCGTGCGGTTCAGTCCTGTAGTCTCCTGGTCTCGCTGGGCCACACTGGAGGTTTCCCCTACCTCCTGCCACGCACGCGAGGTGGATTCAGTAGCCCTCGGGCCCTGAAGCCCCTTTTTACACTCACAGGTCTACGAATTTGTGGTGTTCCATTCGTAAAGAAACGACAGTATTTACTCTAAGTGGTTAAGCATCCGCTGACCCCACTGCAACAACTCGAGAAGATAAAAGGCTCACCTACATAGTTTTAACCTAAGATAAGATAAAGATATCTGTAGTGGTATTCCTGTCTAATATCCCGCCTGTCATAAGGACTTCTTACACTTCAGATACCAGTGATACACTGGTATTTACAGCAAACTCTGTTCTTGGTATTCGTTATAATACCACTCTTCTATAGCTCTTGTTAATTCTTCCGCAGAATATAGTGAAGTGTGCATGTGTGTGTGTCTGCCTTCAAGAATGTCCCATCTTGTGGATGTGAGTGAAATGGTTTTCGCAGTTATAAGGGATTATTTAATCAGTGATATAATATAGCTGTAATTTAACTGTGGTAAGAATACGTAGAAGAGATGCGAGTCACTGGAGAGACAAGAATATAAAAAATAAATATAAAGAATAGTGAAAATGGAGCTTCTGGAGACGTTTGAGAGTGTGTTATCCGGTGTTATGGCCAACTTCTCTCTGATGGCCGACCTCAACTCCACGTCTATCCTCTATCCATACGCTCATAACACATCTCTTTTAAACATCGAAGACGACTATCCGTACTATCCGGGGGAGCATAACGACTCATATATCAGCGTGGAGCCTCACCGGAATCCATCAGAAGTTTTAATCACTTCAACTTCCTCCCCGAACTTTGCGTCTTACAAGAGGTTCATGGATGAGTCTCGCCACTGGGTCCAACGAGTGCTGGTGCCCATGGTGATGTGTGTGGGCGTGGTGGGTAACTCGGTCTCCATGGTGGTGCTCACCAGGCGGAAGATGAGGTCCTCGACCAACAGTTACCTGACGGCGCTGGCTATCTCCGACCTGTTGTATCTGGTGTTCGTCTTCTCTCTCTCCCTCCAGCATCACCCTGACATCAAACACCCGAGACACTGGCTCTACTGGCAGTACTTCCGCTTTGGTCTTTGGCTCACCGATGCTTCCAGTGAGTAGTCGAAGTCTAGTTCACTAATACTTTCATTCACTAATACTTCCAGTATTCGAAGTGCCTTTGTAGCAGGTCTAGGACACTCATACTTCCAGTAACTGAAATGCCCTTGCACCAGGTG